TTGCCTCCAATTTTTTCGAGTTATAGTTATTTTTATAAAAACTTTCTCATTAGTGTCAATAAAAAACAAAATCATTAAAAAATTATAATATCAATATAAATGATAATAAAAATAAACTTAGTAGAAAGCAATAAAGAGAATTAAGTATTTTAAGATAATGCATTATGGTCAGTTTTTGGGTATCTAATATTGATGAGAAATTGATATACTGATAGAGTATAATAGTATATAAAGAGAATGATGTAATTCATGTTTGTCTTCAAATTAATGGTTATTTTCTACAAAATTCTTTCTTTAGTGTCAATATGAACAAAATAAAAAAAAATTAGGAAGGCCAATAAATCAATCAATATATTTATAATATATAACTCTGTAAAAAGAATATGATATGTGCATGAGTGACATTTTAATATTTCAGTATTTTAAAATTTTGAATTGTGGTTTTGTTTTGGTCATCCCACATCGATGGAGACATGATATGTTGGAGAATAGATTTAAGTACATAAAAATGATAAAAATGTTATTTAAATGTAAAAAAATGCATTGCTAAATATGTTTTTGTCACACTTTTATTTAAAGTAAATTATATATAAAGATGATGAAAGGTGTCTTTAATAGTAAAAGGTTCATTGACTAAATATGTCTTTAATAGCAACGTGTGGTGCACAAGACTAGTATTGATATAATAAAACACCCATAATATTTGAAAAACAGTAAGGGAATGGCTGGGAAAATATCCTGAAGAACGCTCGGGAGAACGGTCAACTGGCCCGGCAGCCTAGGCCGCATGCCAGGCACCCAAGGCAGTGGGCCGGGCAACTTTTGGTGTGACTTAAATCGCCCCAAAGGTGGCCTCGCACGCCAAGGTCGATTTTTAAACCGATTTTTAGGGTTTTCTTCCCCAATCCTCACCCATTTTCATTCTTCTCTTCTTTTGGCGTTTTAGGCAATTTAGGGTCGATTTTTGGAGAATTTTTTTTGGAGCAAATGGAGAGTGGATCCTAAAGATGAAAGATCTATGGAAGGAGATGCAAAATGTAAGCTTATTTTGGATATTTTGTGCTTTTTGTTTGGGATTGTTGGTGGATTTGGAGTTTGTGTAATTATTTGGTGTCTTTTAGTTTGAATGTTGCTCTTGAAGTGTTTTTGGGAAGTTTAGCTCATGGAACTTGAACCATCATTTTGGAAGTTAAAGATTGAGTTGGAATCTTGGTTTAACCTAACCTAACAAGGTAGGTTCAAGTTGTTTTGTGAAAACTTTGTACATATCAAAAATGTTCATCTTGGAGTCTTAAAGTAGTTTCATTGATATTTATCAAATATTGTTGAGTATTTGATGAAACTACAACTTTTGTACATTTGGTTTTATAAATCTTGAGAAAAGCTCATATTTGGGGATTTTTGGACTTTTAGATAAATAAATCATAAAATGTGGTATTTTGATGATTTGTTATACATATAGGGTTGGATTTTGATCAGAAAAAGAGTTAAGGTGAGAAGCGTAAGAAGAGATCTTCACCCTTGGATGCACATTTGGATGAGATGCATCGAGATACATCGAGATACATCTGATCAATACCCGTATCAAGCGCGATTCATGGTTGAGTTTGAGATTAAAGGTGATCAGCGGTTCAGATCCCTTCTTATGCTTCTCACCTTAACTCTCTTTATCACACGATTCTTCGCCTATAATAATGGAGATTATTTGACGTGGATGCACTTTTAATATATTTGTTTTTCTAAACTATCCGGGACTTGCATATTATTGAGTTATAAGATATTTTTTGGAAGTATAAATTGTATGGTTTTCTTCTAGAGATGATTTATCCCAATATTGGTGATTTTTTGACCAAATCATATATTGGAGCATGAGTTTGCATAAATATTGCGTAATTGCATATTTTGACTTATGTTGACTAATACTCGTGTAAGCATTGTGATCATCTCGGTATTGTAGAGATGAATTCTTATGAGTCGGTACGCATGGTGATCTGTCTCGTCCTGTTGGAAACCCGGTTCACCAGCCCTGCTCGAGGCTGGGGATTCCTCGTAAAGACGGGTACCGGGTCCCAAGATCCCAGACATGTTGAAAATCAAGGTCAAGACCAGGTATTCTATTCCCCAACTTGTCTCGTCCCTGTATGTATATATATTAATTAGAATTATATTTTTTAATATGCTATATAATATATTATATTTTTCAACGAGTTTTTTGACCAATTTTTGAATTATTTATCATTGAACTAGGGATAAAACGAGGATAGACCTAACAAAAACCGGGGAGGGGGTTCGGTTTGTCGCACCTGTCGGGGACGGGGATGAGATACCAGAACCGGGCCCGGGTATTGCATTCGCTGCCCCATCGCCACCACGTTGTCATACCTATTAGTCGAACTCTGGGACCGTGAGTATTATGGTTGTTTTAACCCTTATTCATGAGGGTTAAATGTCATGTGTTGTCAAGTGGGAAGCTTAATGTTCCTATCTTGAATGCTAGTGTATTATCTATAATTTGTGGTTTGTCTTGGACCTTATCCGTATTTTGGTGTTTTCGAGAAAAGAGTTATATCCATGTTTTTGGTATTTGAATATTATGATGTATTCATGTTTGAGTGAGTATTAGGTTTTGATTTCACATTTAAATGAGTGTTTTGATTAATGAGGTTTCATCACACATATTATGTGTTTTGAAAAAGATGTTACTGTAATGTTACTTACATTTCATTTTGGAAATGGTGATTTAAATAACATGCTTTCAGTTTTACCATTATATATTAATGATGAAAACTTCTTCAACTCACTAGACATTAAGCCTAGCTATTCTTATTTGTCGGCATGTGCATCAAGTTCTCGTTGAGGAATGGTACTAGCAACACTATAATGATTTGAGTGCTAGTTAGAGGCATGAGAAGGATGTAGCAATTTCGAGGACATTTTCTATATTTTGGAGATATCAATTGTTGTTGGGTTTTAGTAACACACGTCCCTAATCTTGATTTTGTGTAGGGTTTGATTTATTAATTGTTGATGTTAATCTTAGATTGTCATTATAAGTTATCAAGTGTTGGTATTTAGAAACAAATTTATTCTTTATTTGATGTGTTACAAGATTTTACATAGTCGTTTCTTTCCTATTTTGGGATGTTACATATACTTTTTTATTTATTAAATTAAAATTTTAACATTAATATAACGAATATTAAAAATGAAAAATATTATTAATATACAAAAAAAATAGAGAAAATTGCACCAAAATGGAACCAACTTTCACCTAATTCCTATTTTGAGGAACCAACTTTCAAAATCGTCATTTAGGGGTCTCTATCAAACTTTTTGTTTATTTAAGGGTCTGGTTGATCTGTTGAACAGGTAACAAGTAATTTAAGGGTCTCTATCAAATTTTTGGTTTGATTTGCCAAATTTGATTTAAACTTTAATATTGATACGGATTGGTTAGATATAAAAATCTTGAATGTGATATTTAATATTTATTTTTTGTTGCATCAATTAATTTTTTTCTATTAAAATTATTTTTTATTGCATTAGTAAAAAACAATTTTTATTGTGGTAATTTGGATTTTTTTTTTTAAATCTTCAATTTGATATCTGAATTTAAAAAAAACGAGATTTGAAATGAAAAATAGATTTTATTGCATTAATTTGTGAAAAATAACGAATTTTAGTTATTTTTCTATAATTATTTTGCAAGTTGGTTCCCCAAAATAGGAATCAGGTGCAAGTTGGTTCCCAAAAGAAGAATCAGGTGAAAGTTGGTTCCATTTTAGTGCAATTTTCCCAAAAAAATATTACACAGTTTTACCTCAATTAATATAGTTTTTTGTTTTTATTAATAAATAAAATAGAAATAATTCGAAATATTATAAATTACTTTAAAAAGAATTTAAAGCATAAATATAATCATTTATTTATTGAATAAAAAAATTAAAAATTAAAATATAACATTTTTATTAATTTATTTATTTTACATTATAATAATTATTTAGTTCAATAAATTATTTGGCGTTAAGTTATAGTAAAAATATTTAATTGTATTTTTGTTGTCATTTGTTTAAAATGCAATTTTTTATGATGAAGTTTCATTTAAGAAATTGGTTAAAATCATCATAGGAGAGGGTTATTTTTAGATAATTTCTAACATCGACATGACATATTAGAAATTTGTATTGTAGTGGATGGTTAAGAAATCAAATTATATACTACAATTTCTTATGTTATGTGAAATTATCAATTACCACAAACCAATTTCTTATTAAGAAATGATATCCACAATGAGTGGCGGATCTAAGATTTTTGTCTAGTGGGGACACCTTTAAGGTAGTTTAAAGGTCTGCAAGATCATTCGATATGTTTTTACTCTAATTTCCACCATTTCAAGGGATTTTTGAAGTTTTTCTGTTGATTTTGAGAGATTTTTTCAGATTTTTTGATTGATTTCAAGACCTTTTTTGTTGATTTCGACATATTCTTTTCGTTGGTGGGAACACAGTCAGAAAATTACTAGGAAAAACTATGGTAGAAAGTTAAAAAAAAATATATTTTTAAACTACGTAAAACTATGGCCCAACAACAAGAGATCTTTATGAAGTTGTTGGAGGATAGAGATGCTAACCACCGTAAACATGAGACAGTTTCCGAGAATATAACTATTGGAGGATCTGGGGGTACCGGAAATGGAATACCAACCCAGGAGTTAGTGACGATTGAGGCAAGGCAAATGGGTAGAGTTTGCTCCTACAAGACCTTTCTATGTTGCAAACCATCGAAATTTGTGGGGTCAGATGATCCTGTGGCGTGAATGAATTGGCTACGAGAGATTGAATAAGTCTTTCGGGCTTGTGACTGCGATGAGGGGCAGAAAGTGAAGTTTGGCTCTCAAATGCTAAGGGGTGCAGCCCTCACCTGGTGGAATATTGCCATCTCAACCATGGAAGTCACAGATTTGGCCAAGATGAGTTGGGCCCACGTTCAGAGAGAAAGTGATGGAAGAATATTGCAATAAGCAAGAGATGGACCGTATTGAAGAAGAGTTCCGAACCTTAAAGAAAGAAAATTTGTCGATGAGAGACTACACTCGACTCTTTATGGAAAAGTTAAATTTAGTGGGGCACGTGGCCCCAACAGAGAAGGAAAGAATGAAAGCCTACCTTAAAGGGTTGCCTGCTGACATGATGATGATGGTCAGGAACTCCATAGCCTCCACTCTTAGGGAGACGATCGAAGAGGCAAAAGTCATGAAATCAGTCTATGCTAAAGGGAAAGAAGAGAAAGCGACAAGTAGTGAGAAGAGGAAGTGGGAAGGCCATCATGCACATTCCAAGAGGCCAAGCCACCCCAACGGCAATAATCGCGAAACTTATCCTAGAAATGAAACTAGGTGGTGTCCCAAGTGCCGCAGCAGACATCACGGCCCGTGCATTACCAACCCTATCCCCGTGAAATGCTTTAAGTGCGGAAAGGCAGGCCACACGCGAAATGATTGTCCAATCAAGGGACCCATTTGTTTCGGGTGCGGAGAGTCGGGTCACTTCAAGAACGATTGCCAAAAGTTGAAAGCAGGAGGGAGTCAAGGAAGGAAGGAGAGCACCACAAAAGCGACCGGTCGAGCCTTTCAGATGTCAATAGAAGAAGCTAAGGCATCAACGGATGTAGTGTCAGGTACGTTCCTTATTAACTCCGTACCTGCGCACGTACTTTTTGATTCAGGTGCTACATGTTCCTTTGTGTCCACTACATTCCATCAACACTTGCACACGCCCCCTACTACCCTAGAAGATGCTTTGATCATAGAGATAGCAAATGGTAGTCAAGTTTTGGTGTGTGAGATTGTTAGAGATTGCGTGTTGGGAATTGAAGGGAAGGAATTTCGAGTAGATCTCATACCCATGGCTATAGGCGGATTCGATGTCATAATTGGGATGGACTGGCTGGTGGAGAACCAAGCGGAGATATTATGCTCTAAAAAGGTGATACGAATCTCTTTACCGGACGGGGACACAGTGCTAATTTACGGAGAAGGAAGAAAAGGGAATGTAGTACTCCTATCCACGGCAAAGGCGCGTAAGTGTCTAGCTAAGGGATGCTCCTCATTTATTGCATTCGTGTTAGATACCAAACTTGAGGAAAGAAGAATCGAAGATGTGAATGTGGTTAATGAATTTCTCGACGTATTTCCTGAGGACTTACCCAGTTTACCACCCATTAGGCAAGTGGAATTCCAAATCGACCTTATCCCGGGAACAGCTCCAATTGCTAGAGCCCCTTACCGTTTGGCGCCATCCGAGATGCAAGAGTTGATGTCTCGTTGCAAGATCTTCTTGAGAAAGGATTTATTAGACCGAGTTCGTCACCATGGGGAGCTCCAGTCTTATTTGTAAAGAAGAAGGACGACACCATGAGAATGTGTATTGATTACAGAGAACTCAATAAAGCGACTGTGAAGAACAGATATTCTCTTCATAGGATAGACGACCTTTTTGACCAACTTCAGGGAGCAAGTTGCTTCTCAAATATTGACCTTCGTTCGGGGTATCACCAGGTGCGAGTGAAGGAAGATGATGTGACGAAGACTGCTTTTAGAACTCGTTACGGGCACTATGAATTCTTGGTCATGCCTTTCGGTCTGACGAATGCACCGGCGGTATTCATGGACTTGATGAACCAAGTGTGCCGGCCATTTCTTGATAAGTCAGTGATAGTGTTCATTGACGACGTACTCATCTATTCCAAGGACGAGTCGGATCATGAACAACATCTTCGAGAGGTTCTCGAAGTGTTAAGAAAAGAGAAATTGTATGCAAAATTTTCCAAGTGCGACTTTTGGTTAAAAGAGGTCCAATTCTTGGGTCACGTTGTCACTCGAGACGGAGTGAAGGTGGACTCATCCAAGATCGAGGAAATAATGAATTGGGAACCGCCAAAGAACCCGTCAGAGATTCGAAGCTTCTTGGGGCTGGCGGGTTATTACAGAAGATTTATCCAAGACTTCTCCAAGGTTGCTTCTTCTTTAACGACGTTAACTAAGAAGAATGTGAAGTTTATCTGGACAGAGAAGCAAGAAAATGTTTTTAGAACTCTCCATAGGAAGCTATGTGAAGCCCCGATTCTTTCCTTGCCAATAGGATATGAAGATTTTGTAGTCTTCAGCGACGCATCGATAATGGGATTGGGTTGCGTTTTAATGCAGAGAGGAAAGGTGATAGCATACGCATCGCGGCAACTCAAGAACCACGAGAAGAATTACCTCACCCACGATTTGGAGCTAGCAGCAGTGGTGTTTGCCTTAAAGCTTTGGCGGCATTACCTCTATGGTACAAAGTGCACGTTTTTCATTGATCACAAAAGTTTGAAGTATATTTTTGATCAAAAAGAACTAAACATAAGACAACGACGTTGGCTCGAACTACTCAAAGATTACGATTGTGAACTACTATACCACCCGGGTAAGGCGAATGTAGTGGCGGATGCTTTGAGCCGAAAGGAGTACGGTAGTGGGACGAAAGTCGTGCTTACCAGGATTGATGTAATGTCCAGTCTGATCGATCAGATCAAAGTGGCACAAGCTGAAGCACTTTTGGAAGAGAACCTCAAGAGAGAAGTTATGATGAAATAACACATGTTTCTTACGGAGGATGGTCGTGGCTTGAAGTTGTTTCAAGGACGTATATGGGTACCCAAGGTCGGGGGAAGTCGTGAGTTGTTGCTAGAAGATGCGCACAAGTCTAAATACTCCATTCACCCGGGTAGCACCAAGATGTATCGGGATTTAAAATTGACATATTGGTGGTCTGTTATGAAGTTGGATGTGGCTCGTTACGTAGAGAAGTGTGTGACATGTTTGCAAGTGAAGGCAAAGCACCAACGACCTTATGGTAGCCTCCAATCCTTGGAGATTCCAGAGTGGAAGTGGGAACATATTACGATGGATTTCGTGACCAAACTGCCGAAGACCTTAAGAAGCCATGACACGATTTGGGTTGTGGTTGATCGGCTGACAAAGAGCGCTCACTTCCTAGCAATGCAATAAACGTTGCCCATAGAGAAGCTAGCCAAGTTATACATTGACGAAGTAGTCCCAAGACACGGTTTACCGTTGTCAATAGTATCGGATCGAGATAGCCGATTCACCTCCTATTTCTTGAGCGGATTACAGAAAGAATTGGAAACGAGGGTGAAGTTGAGCATAGCTTACCATCCTCAAACCGATGGTCAAAGCGAGCGAACCATTCAAACCCTTGAAGACATGCTTAGGTCATGTGTTATCGATTTTGGCGGGAATTGAGATTCTCACCTACCCCTGGTGGAGTTCGCCTATAACAATAGTTACCATTCCAGCATAGGAATGGCATCTTTTGAGGCGCTGTACGGACGAAAATGTAGAACTCCAGTGTGTTGGCTAGAAGCGGGTGAGAAACAGTTTGCTAGCCCCGAGATTGTTCAGGAAATGGCCGATAAGGTGAAGTGTATTCGGGAACGCTTAAAGGCGGCTCAAGATCGACAAAAGAGTTAAGAAGAAAAGAGGAGCCGACCTATGGAATTCCAAGTGGGAAACCGTGTAATGCTAAAGGTGTCCCTTGGAAAGGCATTATCCGTTTCGTAAAGCGTTGGGAAACTAAGTCCCCGTTTCCTTGGACCGTTTAAAGTCCTGACTAGGGTAGGACTTCAAGCCTACAAATTAGAATTACCACCTGAGATGGCCGGAATCCACGACACATTCCATGTGTGTTACCTACGTAAGTGCTTGGCAGAAGAAGAAAGTGTGATACCACTTTCGGAAATTCATGTGGATAAGGACAATCGATGTATTGAAGAACCGGAAGCCATCTTGGAAAGAAAAACCAAAATTTTGAGGCACAAGAAAATTGTCATGGTTAAAGTTCAGTGGAAGCATCACCGAGGGTCAAACGTAACTTGGGAAGCAGAAGAGGACTTGAAGAGGCGCTACCCTCATCTTTTCGCTTGATCAAAAGAGAAATTTCGAGGACGAAATTTAATCTTAGGTGAGGAGGATTGTAACACCTATAAATTTTCTTTTTCCGTCTCGTTACTTGGTAAGCATTATCTATACCATATTATTCAAATATATATATATATGTAATATTAGTCTTGGCCCTGTTATTTTTTTGAATAAGGGGAGGGGTTAAGGGAAGTTTTTCTTTTTTTTATTTAATATTTTCGACTTGAATGAGTTATTGTAAAAAGTTTTTTTCTTTAAAGTAACCATTAGACTTCTCCTTTACCTTAGAAGATTTTTCCCTCTAGACCTTGGGTTTTTACCTATTGTATCACTTGGTAGAAAGGGGGAGGAAATAACTCTGAGATAAATCTGCACTTGGGAGATGGTGTCCCCAAGATTGAAGAAAAAGATAAGAAAGCTCAAGAAAGGTTTAGAGAGGGGCAGCAGCTGCAGTTCGAGTGAGATTGGTGGGTAGCAAGTTCCTTTTGATTTTTTTGATCTTTGGAAGAACCGGCGGCACCGGAACCCATTGATTCAACCTCCAGCCGATTTCCGACTGCTTCTCTGCTTGCGGTGTACTCCAACAGCAGTCGTTCATGAGCTGTTGCTGATTTCTTCGCCAAACAACAGTCGCAGTGGACTGCTTCTCCGCCTGCAGTGTACGCCAAAAATCAACCGAGCCTGCTTGGCGGAAGAAGAAACAGCAACCATAAGCAGCAACCTTAAACAGCAGCCGATAGCTACTGGTTGCAGACCTTAAAACAGCAGCCCGAGACTGCCTGTTTTGAAGTAGAAACAGCAAGCGGTGGCTGTTTGTTGGAGGCAGAAACAGCAGCCGTAGCTGCTGTTTGGAAGCAGAAAATTAGCAGTCGTAGCTGCTTGGTTTGGGAGGAGAAGACCGCAACTGTTGATTGATTGAAGTTAGAAGCAGCAGCAGTCGTTGTTTGATCAGAAACCAAGGTAGCGAGACTACAGTCTTGGGTCTTAGTAAGGTGCTGATTTGGGTGCAAGTTCGTAAGCCTGATCAAGAGTAGAGAAGAAACAGCAACAGCAGGTGCTGTTTGATCGACAGCGAACGAGAAGAAACAGCAAACAGTAAGTTGCTGTTTGATCATGCTGCATTCGCAAACAAGGCAGTAGACCGCTGTCTGTTACGCGCAGCTACTGTTTTAAGCAGCAAATCGAAGTAGCAAGCTCGCTGTTTTGGGAACGCAACTAACTGTTGGTCCGAGGAAAGGCAGCCAAGCTGCTGTTTCGGGGGCATGTCTGGATCTTGATCGAGATCGCCTATAGCTCCTGTTCTGAAACCTTTCCTCCGCTACCTTTTGATTTCGGGGTTTTTGGGATTTCTCCAAAATCCTCCAAGGTGAGTTCAACTTAAATCTTTAAATGGAACCTTATGCTATATATACAAACATGAATACTTTATTTATCTTATGCTCTAAATTCATTTATTTACCCTCTTAGTTGAAATAAAGGTTTGAGTCAAAAGGTTGAAGTAGATGCATTCTGTAAATGATATTAGGTTGAGTTTGAATAAAGGGTTTAATCACTTGGTAGAATACCCGTGGTCATTGTGTTGATGCCTTTTTTTTTTTTTTTTTGCTCTAAAAAAACATCCTGTCAAGTATCGTTTGGAATATAATGAACCTAAGGTGTGTATGATCGTTATATTCTTTTTGTGTGAAAGTTGGTATAAGTCGAAATTCGTTTTGTGTGAAGGTTGGTGTAAGTTGAAATTAGACATTGTGATCATTATGTAAATTTCAAATCACCTTCTCACGCCCGCTCGGAAATAGGCATTGTGATTATTGTGTAATTTCCGAGACAAAGAGCTTAGATCACAACCAACTACATGACCGATTGGGTTAATGTCGATGGTTTTAATCCTGTAAGTGATGCTCTATAACGTTGATTTATGACATACTTTGTGTTCCGTCATAGTTAACGGTAAATCGGGTCTCCCCCGTCGCATTCGGATGTTTGACTCCACCCTAAGTAAATTAGAACTTTCATGTCCACTTGTATCGTTTTAGATTCACGTCATGCATTTGTATATACCTTATATGCAGAGTAGCTTACTGATTTATTTGCCCGCGTTTTGAACTCACTAGGCGAAAGTCTAACGCTTTTTTCTTGAATTAACTTATTTATCAGGTTCCTTTAGCGAAGGGGCTCCGAGGGGATAAGGGAGCGTTGTCTTGTAAAAGTCTTTGTACTTGAAGCTTTTGGTGAAATGGAAGCGTAGCGGTTTTCATCTGGCGCGTTTTGTTGGAGTTGATACAAAACATCCGTCCTTAATCTAGACATAGTATTGTTTAGATTAGTAGGTTATTAATTATCATCTTGCTAGTTGTTTTGTAAACGTGCACTTTCCCCCTTTTGTTGGGTGATTTTCTCGTTAAGACTCTAGATTTTGCTATTCTTATTTTCGGCCCAGTTAACCTCTTAACTTTCTGTTTTAGGGTGTTATAGGCATCGACGACATGAGTACTGGAATTGGTGAGAGAAAGACATAATTTGGTGGATAAGGTGGTGGCAGTGATAATCTAGTCATGGATATCAATGTTACAGTTGTTGGATCAAGAAAAGGAAACCCTATATATTGTGGCATATTGGTGGAAATTTAAGGTAGAAGTCTAATTGAGGATGGTCGAGTTGCACCAACATTTGAATTTGCACTTCGTTGTCGCATTGGCTAGCTTTTTGATTTTGCTCACTTAATTGGGCAGTATGTTGTCTACTAGCATCCAATGGCTTGGACTTGAGCAATTTGGTTTTGATTAAGTCTGCTGCTCGTCATCTTGCAAATTTGATCTCAAGAAAGAATACACTGTTAGTAGTGGATATTTATTTCAAAGAAGATCTCTAACTGGGACGGTGGGCACCAGACTGTTTATGCCAAAAATTAGACCCAAGATAATTTAAGGTTAGCTTGTGGAGCCTTTACAATTAAAGATCAAATCCTTCGAAATAAACACAACAAAATAATAAAGAAAAGAGATAAAGACTGGTGATGCGAAAAACCTTTAGCAGGGGAAAAACCACGGACAATAAGGGATACCGCCGACTATGGACGTCAGTCAGCGTTTATAACAACGATTACAGCGTTATACGTAAGGAAATACGTCGATCGTGGAAAATAATATAAGACAATGATTATTTTTGTTATTTGCTCTTTATAGCTTCGAGATTATTCCAACGCCCGAGTATCTCATTGTGTAGATGCCTTTTCTCGAATCTTGTCAGTCTTTTTATAAGTACTCTGATTGACTATTCCAGTGGTCATCATTTAAAGGACTTTATGGAGATAACGGTTGCCTTTTATTGAGTCACTAACAGTTGGTCGCCGGTTACCTTGATGAATTAATGAGGTGAATCTTGATCATAAATATCTGAGACCTGCAATAAATATCAAAGGTAACGGATGTCATGGTTAGTATAAAGTAATGAACGTCTTTAGTTTAGTTTGTCATAGATGATCACGGTCGTAGATAGATACCTACGACCAAGGATCAAGAATCCTATGGTAGTAGATAACCACGATCATAGATAGAGAAGTTCTTACTCGTGTGAATCTTGATTGTTGATGTTTCGCTCGTGGACGATATCCTCGATGGTCACGGATGTAGATTTTTACCAAAACATCTTTTCATATGTTTTCAAATACTTGGATGCATTATTTCATAACATTTAGCAAGAGCACGTACCGGAATATCATTTCATTAAAAAAATCATTCAATTAGTAATACATCATAGGAAACCCGTAATTGTATACTATAGTCAAAAGCGATCGATACATTATGAATTGAAGCATTATTTATCTTGAAATAACGATAGTTAGTCCAATCGCATTGCAACTCGATTGGTTGGATTTCATTTCACACAACTTCATTTTAAGGGCTAGTTAAATCATTTACTAAAGTGGGTTGGGTTGGGTTGCTAGAACCCTAAAAATTCAAATTTTGTTAATCATTTAGATATAAATCCCCAAATATATTTGTAAAAGAGGCATTAAAGTGTGTTGATTTTGAAAATTTTAGATTGCTCTTTACTAATGATTGGGTTTGTAAATTAAACCACGTTTATATACATAATTGTTGGATTTATAAAAGAAACCACCTTTATATAAATAAGTATGTAAGGTTAAGTTCGAATGAAAAGTGTAAAAAGAGATGTCCATCATTGAATAAATCATAATTGAATGTCAACAGTAATGAGGTGCACCAAATCAATTCTCTTTTAAAGCGCAATCAATTCATGGGTGGACGTGAGATTAAAGAGTGATCAGGAGTTCACATTACTTTTTTACACTTCTCACTATAACTTTGATGTTTCAACTACATACATATGTTTACAAACGATTAAAAATTTTATTTTATTCAAATATAAATTTAACGAGGATTTTGTCAATTTTCAATTATGATTCATAACATAAATTTACATGTACAAATATTTTGATGTAAAGAATGAATTCTAACATCCACTTCCTCAGGAGAACAAAATGGGCTGCTGCCCAACTATATACATCTTTTCTCCAAAAGAACTTGAACACTTGAATTCTTTGAAGGCTTGGCAGCCTGTTTGTTTCTAGTCTTCCTGCATTTCAAACCCAGATCATGGGAAAAGTATATGCAGACTACACCACTCAACACATCCAAAACAGCACACAGCTAGTTCAACTGGCAAATAAAAGAAAGGAAGGAATCAGAGGGCATGAATGAATGCAATAAAGAAACAAGATAAAACTCTATCAAGATTTACATGAAAATAGCCAAACAGAGTTCATAATCTGTTCATTTCAGACAGAAACAAAGAAAAACAATCATTTTCAGCAAGGTGCCCTCCCTCCCTGCCTATGTCCATAATGTACCAACACTGTTCTTCCATGTTTCCAACAAACAAAGAACAAAACAAACTCAGCTGTAACCTCCTCCTATATAATAATGATCATAATAATCAAAAAAAAATCCCCCCCCCCCCCCTCTTTCTTTACTGCTTGCTTTCTGGATTGGATTCCCATCAAGATCAGAATGTACAAACTCCACCTTCAATCTTTAGAGGGATTGAATTCAATGCTTCAACCCCAACAAGAAATACAGCAGAGAAATGAAATGAAATGAAAAACCTCAAGATGAAGAGCTTCCAGGATCATCTTCTTCTTCAGAATCTGATACGTCTCCAAGATTCTCAAGCATGTTTATAACTTCTACTGTGTCATCCAAGTAGTACTCAGCTTTGCTAGGTTTCTGTCCAACTGTGCAAGCAAACACCGATTTATTGTTCAAGATTACACCCGCCTTTATTGCATCACCAATCATCACAAACATGTCTTCATCGCTTCTATCATCTCCAACGCAAAGAACAAAATCAGCCCGTCTTTCGTTCCTAAACATCGATAAGAAGATCTTTTCTGCAACTAAACCTTTAGTCACACCCTACAATGGCGGCAAATCTTTAGTCAGACCATATGATTCTTGATTTCTTTTTTAGAATGTAAATACATCAAATCAAGCAAGAACATGTATGCAATACCTGTGGTTTCACTTCTACAATGTATTGACCACTTTTTACGACTACAGGTTCATTAGCAAGCACGCTTTCAAGATGGTCCAACATTTCCTTAGCCTGAGCCGAGCCAAAACTTGGATCAGCATCCTGATGGTGCCAAACCAATGCACTTTCTTTCCTTTCAATGTAAGAACCATCAGTGGCTTCTGTATATAATCTCATAACAGGTTCAGCCATCTGCATCCATGTAAAATTGGTGTTTTGTGCACATGTCTCCCATTCTTTATCAGCCGGCCACCTGGTATCACATGATTGTTTTAGTATTTGTGAGAGAATATATGTGTGCTAGTTATGTGTGTGTTTAAAACGATATTTATACCTCATAAAATAACCATGTTCGGCTGCAAGGCCTAGTTTCTCACATGGGGCAAACCATTTGCCAAGACTTTCTTTACCTCGTCCACTGATGACGAACACCATATTCTTAGGATCGTTGCAGAGTCTGTTGATAATGGATATGACCTCCTCACTTGGACTTGTATCAATGGATGATTGTGGCATGACAGTGCCATCATAATCCAACAAGATGGCTCTACTCTGAGCACGTCCGTAAGCATCCATAATGGCATCCATGGTCAACTTCCTGAACATAGGATCGAGGGCCACAACTCTAAATCCAAAGCTCAATCCTATGCCCCAACACCGTCGCCGGAAATGGTCAGCACAATTCCTCTCCAAATCTTGGAAGAAGCTTCGCGACCAATAAGCCACGTCATGGCTGCTGACGTATCTATAATGCTTCTCATGACGCATCTGTTTTTCAACCTCTGGAGTCGAAATAGCCTCATACATTGCTTCTGCTGTCGCATCCACATTCCATGGGTTGACTCGTATAGCACCACTTAAGGAAGGTGAACACCCAACAAATTCAGAGACCACTAGCATGCTCTTTTGGGGAGAATTTGAAATGTCGGTCCCTGAAATCCCTTGCCTGCACACGACATACTCGTATGGAGTAAGATTCATACCGTCCCTTATAGCTGTGACAACAGCAGCCTCAGAGATGGTATAATATGCAGCCTTTTCACTTAAACTAAGTGGCGTATCAACAAGCACTATAGGGGTGTACCCCGGACTTCCCAACTCCTGGTTGATTCTTTCAGAGCTTGTTCTTATCTCCGCTTCTATCTCCTCCACTTGTCGCCCTTTGCCACGAGCGGGATTCAAGATTTGCACCAAGACAGCACGTCCAAGCCAACTACGATGTGACTTGAGCATCTGTTCCATTGCTAAAACCTTAAGATTCACACCTTTAAAAATATCCAAATCATCGACGCCAAGTAGCACCGTTTTCCCTTCAAATTGCTGTGCAAGCGCCCGGACTCTCGATTGTTTATCTGATTGCCTCAACACAGACTCCATTTGTCCCATGTGGATCCCACTTGGCATAATCTTTATGCCAATGGTCCTCCCATAGTATTCCAACCCAATGTACCCCCTTTTCGACTGGTACTCCAAACCAAGCATCCTACTACAGCAAGAAAGAAAATGGCGAGCATAGTCAAATGTGTGAAACCCAAGGAGATCAGCATTTAGAAGTGCCTTCAAGATCTCCTCTCGTACAGGCAAAGTCCGGTATATCTCTGAGGATGGGAAAGGGCTATGGAGGAAAAACCCCATCCTCAGCCTATTAAAATGTCTCCTCAAGAAGGTCGGAAGCACCATCAAATGATAATCGTGAATCCAAACATAATCGTCATCAGGGTTTATCACCTCAATCACCTTCTGAGAGAAAATCTTGTTTGCAGCCACATAAGCTTCCCACAAAGATCGGTCAAACCGGCCACCATGGGTAGCTGAAAACGGTAACCTGTAATGGAACAGGGGCCACAAATGCTGCTTACAGAAGCCATGGTAATACTTGTCTAAAACTGCTGCAGGTAGAAAAGCAGGTACACATTTGAACCTCTCTAGCAGTATCTGGGAAACTTCATCTTGTTCACTAGGGTCAACGTCAGCCCTCAGTGAGCCTACGTAAATAACCTCCATTTCTTCAGGCAGGCCATCCTTAATATGCTTATACAGAGAATTCTCATCCCAGCAGAAATTCCATGACGATTCTCCTTTATCATCAATTCTACGAGTAGCTTTAATGGGTAATTGATTGGCAACGACGATTAACCTATCAGCCAAAACCGTTGAAGGGGCTTCAGACGAAACACTACGAGCTTGATCGTCATCAAGCTCTGATAAAACCCCAGGGACAGTCATTGTCCTGGAGAACATCTTCCTTCTGGGTTCTTCCATGGCAGGAAAATTCCCATTTGCTAGATCTAACAAGTTGGCATACGATCTCGAAATCATTTTAGTTTGTTTCAGACGCAAATAATCGTTTCAAAACAAGACCAAACCCCAAAATTTTGATCGATTCCGAATCTGACTAGTCAATGATCTGAAAATTGGGCAAACGAGTATCACATATTAATCAACTTGGTGGAATTCACACACAAAATTGTACTATAAAGAAACACACAGATCCAAAAAATATATGAGAAACCTAAAACAAACTCAAAATCCAAGTCAAAATCAGCACAGTTCAGTCAAGAATACATCAATTAGACTCGAGAACAAAGTGATCGTAATTGTGTAAATAGAAAAACACATACATCAAACCATCTAAAACCCCAAACACATAGGATTAGACGAAGAACAATACAGAAACAAATAAATAATTGACAAAGGTGTTTTATAAAAAGCAATCAGAAGAACTGACCTGATGATAATGATTGTAATGAAAAAACTGAAGTGGAGTCAGAAGAAAATCTAGGGTTTGATCCTATATTTTGTGATGGATGGATGGATCTTGAAGGGAGGGGGGGGTGGTGGTGTATGTAATGTAAAGCTGTTAGAAGAAGAGGGTATGGTGATTATTTAAAAATATATTTTATTTTATTTTATTTTTTTGAAGAAAATAAAATGAAGGAAGGGGATAAGGTCGGCCAGCAAAGAAAGTAGGGATGCCAACTGGAATTTTTGCGTCACGCGCTTGTTATGACAGGGCGACGTGTCAGGCCTCTTGCTCTTCACGTGTTCATCTACATCTATCTTCAAAATTATATCCATTTCATGTTTGTTTATATATCAAATCCATATTAATGTTAAATTAAATATAAATATTTGCTAAAAATAACTTATTTGATTTACACAAAATGTCTCAAAATTAAAATTTACAATTTGTTAAAGTAAAGAGAAATTTGATATTATATATGATTATACGCAGTCATGTATGATACACAAGTTTAATCATATATGATTAAGTATATGTTGTATTGTCGACACATAAACGTTTGATCATACATGATTAAACACACCCAAAAAAGTGTAATCATAAATGACATTAAAAATTTTCGTTTTCTCGTAAAATGTTTAACTTCTCGTATCATCATTCCTTTATTACAGTATATATATATACAAATCTTGAAATTTTAAGTTTAAACATTATAAAATTAATAAATAAACACATTTAAATATAGGATAAATATTGGCTCATATTGATATTATAGAGTAATAAATGAACCTTTTTATCTTTTTTAACAAGAAATTATATTAAAAAATAAAACTGTACATCTTGTTATATTATACGGATACACGGCTAATGTGTACGTATATGTAAGCGTAGAGATCTAAGCAAGGTTGGAACAATGGAGGGCAACTATGAAAATTCAAGGTCTGTTAGTTAATCGTTCTAAGATAGAATATTTATGATGCACTTTCGAGGGGAGGAGAGCTCCTATAAGAGGGGGTAGAAGTCAACATTAGAGTTGAAAGGGAGCTTCGACATGACTTCAAGTATCTAGGCTCCATAATCCAAAATAGGGAGAAGTCGAGGAAGACATAATCGAACACATAAAAGTGGGATAGTGTAACATCTCAGGCTAATCGTATTGGAAATTCTCCTCTTTGTTCACACACTTGGACTTATGGTTTTAAAACTTGTCTGATAGAGAAGGTATGAAGTCCTTTATAAAGCATCATTTGCTTCTCTTCCCAACCAATGTAAGATCTTACAGGTAATTATAGGAAAGATGGCATTGGGGTGTTACGTTACAATAAGGTTCTGCTGAAATTGAAAGAAAAATATTATAGGGTAGTCACCGATCAACTATGTTTTATGGGTTAGAATGTTGTGGAAATAAGGATGATTACATAGACCTATGGTAGGACCATGTTAGACAGGATTCGGAATGAGGTTTTCAAAGCCGAGTTCAATGTTACCCCAATGAAAATCAACTAAATGATATGAGAATGTATTGGTTTGGGCACGTTTGTAAGAGATTGATGACATCAGCAATAAGGAGAGTAAAAAGAGTGTTGCTTATCGTGCCCACTATAAACGCTGGATAGCCAAGTGTGGAGAGGATAACTGCTAAAAGCATGTAAGTAGTAAGCTCCTATATCGAAAGGTGAAGAGGAAGGGTAGGCGGAGAAGGACATGGGATGAGCAATTGAGGTGGAATTTGGTGACCTTAGTCATTCTGAGAACATGACCTCTAACAGGTGTTGGAGATAGAGGACTAGGGTCAGAGGTGGGGTATGAGAATCTATAACCTGCTTAGTTAGGCATAAAGGAATTGGACAAGTTAAGGGTTGCGGGTTGACAACTTTACGCTAGGGATTGTGTCTTTCGCCTTATTTGCTTTGTGTAAATTTTCCATCTTTTGCATTTTCCCATGTTTTTAATGTATATCATCATTTTCTTGTGCCTTGCCAGGTGGGGTTCTACTAAGGTTCGAGGGCATCTTGTACTACCGCTCACTCAATTAATCAAAAAAGAATTTTTTTTTAGGTCTTGAAATGTTCACCCGTTCAACTTTGAGGGGTGCCCTTAAATATTTCAGAACCACATAACAAAAGGATTGAAATGGAAGAGAGAATCTATTGAAACGGAGAAAAATAGAGTTTTTGTTTTATATATTGCTCAAATAGAGTCCCTATCTTGTTATTTAGAATTAAAAAATCTAGAGAAAAATCTAAATATAGAGAATTCTCTAAAATTATTTACTAAGGAGAGAGAAATGTTATTTTAATATTTCTCACGAATGAGATTGGTTTATTAGTTTTTTTTATTTATATAAATAAATGTTCTTTTAAAAATGTATTAAAATGATAATTTATAAAATATTTTAATAATATAGTTGATGTTGAAATATTTAAAATAGAGAACTGATGAAAATTGAATGTAATATTTTTAAACATTTTAACTTTTTAATTATATATTAAAAAATAAATAAAGAATTTATTAAAGATGCTCTAAAATGATATTAATGTTGGTATTTTAAACTAATAGTTTTCCATTTTTAGAACTTGGTTTTTAATATTTTTGTAAACAAGTTTGAGAAAGTTAAGGGAGCAAATTAAAAGTTTTGATATAAAAAAATGACGTCATTTTATTTATGTATGCATCTCACCCTCTTCAAACACTGCTTCTCTGGACATTATTTTTTAGTTAATTAAATTTATTTTGAAGAAATATTTTATTAATTTCAGGAAGTGGCTTTTGGAAGCTGGTTTTAAAATATAAAAATGCAAAAAATTATATTTTTTTTAAACAATTTGATTTTATAAATAAATGATAGAAAATAAGACGTGAGAAGGTGTCTATATCGTCAAAAAGCTAATCGGATACGAATTTAAATTGGAAAATGATGTTTATGTCTGTGTCCTATTAATTTCTATGTATTTTCTTTTTTCAATAAAAGGCATAATTTATAATTTTTATATTTAATTAAAAATAAGCTAATTCTTTTGTAACCTTTATGTGGTTAATATATATATATATATATATATATATATATATATATATATATACACACGACAAATCAAATGCAAATCTTCTAAGTATTACAACCTATAAAATTAATGTTTATGGAAATGATGAAAGTTCATTTATTATGATTTAAGTATTATAAAAGATGATTAACGTTTTATATTATGAAACAATCAATATATTTATGAAAACAGATACTCGTTAGAATAGATAGACGATTGAAATTGGTTTCTAACCTCTTCATGGTTTGTATTTGATTGGACTCTATCGATATATATATATATATATATATATATATATATATATAAAGAGAGATGTGAAGGATCATGTGAGAAGGAAATGTATGATGAGAAGCGTTAGAAGAGATATGAACTCTTGATCACTTTAAATCTCATGTCCGCCCATGAATTGCACTTTAGAAAGTGAATGATCTGGTGCATCTCGATGCACCTCATTAATGTTGACATTCAATTATGATTGATTCAAGGGTGGAGATCTCTTCTTAGGCTTTTCATCATAATTTTCCTTCTCAGTGGAACCCAACCATATATATATATATATATGTGTGTGTGTGTGTGTGTGTGTGTATAGGGGCGAGTTCAAATGAAAACTGAGTTTTGATTGTGAACCGGGAACAAAGGAGCACGCGACATGTGTCTCATGCGTCCACGGATTATTCATCATGAATATGTATTATTTATCATGAATAATAAATCAATTTAACATGGATAATGATTGTGTCTTATTCACCATGAATAATTCATAAACTTCACATTCATTATTCATACTGAATCCCGTTCATTATTAATATTGAATGTCGATATCGGGGACACGTGTCGTGCTCTCCTTTGTTCTCCTGTTCACAGCTGAAAATCGGTTTTGCAAAGAAACTTTTCTCTCTCTCTCTCTCTCTCTCTCTCTCTATATATATATATATACACACACACACACACACACACACATATATATATATATATATAACACATATAGATTATAGACTTAGAATCTTGTGAGACCAGACTATTTTCACGAGTCTCGTGAGATCACTTTTTTACACTTGAAACTTCACAGCAAAAACACTGTGAATGTTCAGATATTTTTTATCTTCACATATGTTTTGCTGTGAAGTTCAAGTGTAAAAAATATGATCTCACGGATCTTATAAAAATAAGTTGGTCACATAAACTCAACCT